CAACACGGAATTCTTGAATGATGCCTCGGACGTCATCTGATACGAGCGAAGTGAAATTAAAGAGCTCCCGTGAAGCTCTTTAATTTATTTTCGACAACGGCGATTAAATTTCGGATTCGAAGGTCTTGCGTAACTTGAAAATGTCGTCGAGAGCTTTAGGGCCAAGACTCGTTCTATTCCCCCCCGAAATCAACCGCAGTACGCTGAAATCTCTCTCCGGTCGGACGGAAGTGAGTGGGACGACTTCAAGGATTTCTTTGCACAGTTCGAGGAAGGGGCTGAGCTCGCCGCCAGCTCGGTAGAGACTCAAGTCTCTCTGGATTCCTCCTTCGGGTTGCGAATGAAGACCTGGGCTCGGCGTATACCGATTGCCGAGTGAGCAATGACGCTGGCCAGCGGAGTAAGATTGAGATAAGAAGAAGGTAAGTCGCGGAACCCTATATCGCGAATCACGGCGAGCAGTGTTCGGCGGGAATACTTACTTCTTCAGTTCCCTCTCTCTCAAAACCGGGAAGAGGAGGACTGTCTCGGATGGCGGGGGTCTCTGCCAAAACGTCGACACTGCTCTGAAGGCTGGGTTCCTCCTGACCTGTCGCTGCCCCCAGGACGAATCTATAGATATCGAATCTATATCCGCAGATCGTTGAGCAGCAACATGAACAACTTGTCCAAGTGGGCCAGTGTGGCTTCCTTCATGCACAGCATCAAAATGGCTCGCTTGAACGATTGTTAAGCACCGGATCTGTTGGAGGGCCAACGCGTCCTTTGCACTAATCGACGTCCCTCGTCTCGAGAGCACGTTGTTCAGTGCTGGGAGAATCCGTATCGCTATCTCAACCATTAAACAAGAGGACTACCATCGGGTCGGGCAGTCAAGGATATGACGAAGCTTTCTGCCATATACTCTGCTTTCCGCGTCACTCTCCGTATTTCGTCCATCATTATAGGCTTCCTTTAGAATTCGCGAACTGTCTTCCGCAGTCGGTCGATGACTTCGCCGAATGAGACGATCGTCGAACCATGACCTCCGTCAATGTCGGATTCGTCGGCGCTATCTTCCCCGAAACCCTCGGGCGTCTCATCATCTGCTTGTTCCGGATCGAAGACTACCTGGTCCAGGACGAGTATGCCGACATCGAAGCCCTGGGCCTCATGACCGTGGATTGTTTTGCGCACCACCACTTCGAGTCCGTGGGCGAAACACTGAGCCCGGCTGCTCTTTTGACATTGCACGCTCCATCCGTCGAAGCTGATTGATTGATTGATTTTTATCGACCTTCCCTAGCTATGTTCACATTTCGAACACAGGGAGAAACCCTAGTATGAGGGGCGATGGCTCAGCTGGTCGTCACGTATTCCTTGTAAACGCCGAGACTCACTCCAAGAGTTGATCTAGGCATTCCTCGGATACTTTGACATCCGAATTTCTTTCTCAACTCTAGACTTCTCCTCTGAATTTTCTTGGGTATATTTGCAATCTTCATCATCGTCTGGATTGCCTTGGGCTACCTCGTCTCGCTCATCTCATTGATTCCGGCTAGGTAAGTGAGCTCATTCTTTGCTCCTCTGGCTTCGAATGTGGACCATCCCTGTTCCCCGTCTATAAATTCTATAGCGGTGTTCGCGTTGGGTTCCCCCCGGGCCCATCTTCCAACCTCTCGTTGTAAGATTTTGAGTCTCCGCCGCAGTTTCACGGACAACGTGCTCACCGAGTTGGCATTCGTCAGCCCCGGTACCGCCGTGCTCTTCCACTGGATCTTAGCCCAACATTGAACCTGTTAAATCTCCAAAGTGATCTGGCGTGCATCTTACGCAGCACCTTTTCAGTTTTCGATTCCCAGATCTTCTCCTGTTCCTCCGAGTAGTTTTACTTACCACATAAGGTGATGCCTAAGTACTTGTAGGAGTTGGGGGTCGGTGGCGCGAGATTTTGGACTTCGAAACTTTCTGAGTCTCGACGTGTCGCGAACTCTACTATGGCGCTTTTGCTAGGATTGAATTGGAGATTCATTTGTTCTCCGAAATCCGATTCGACCTCTAGTAACTCGACCATTCCTTTTCGGGTCTTTGAGATTAGCACCAAATCGCCAGCGAATGATGATCCACTGATATGTAGGGAAATAGCTCTGTCGTTTGGTGTCAAACAGATTCCCCGGCAGTCTGACCTCAAATCCAACCCCTGTTTGCTGGAGCCTCGATTCGAGCTCGGACATTTACAGGATGAATAGGATCGAACTCAACGGGCAACCCTTGTACACGTATGTCCTCGTCGTTTTCGTGGCTGAATACATCGGTAATATTTTCGAACAATTCAGTTCAGTCGTCCTCTCTCGTGCGCAACATACATTGAGATGAACAACCATATCGATGATTGGATTCCCATCTTTATTGCTATGAAATCCCTTCCACTTTCGGTAGAGATCACTCGCCCGATACCCTGTGGGATCAGTTTTTCCACTCCGGCTTTCGCGTGCTTCCTCGTTTTTCCTTCTCGATTGGATCCAAGCCATTCGTATAGGGATATTCTTGGCAGAACCTCCTCATTTACGAGCCAGGGTTCGCTCACCAGGATGATCCCTCTCGAGTCAATCGCATCTTTCCCACGCGTTCCCGAAAGTGCTCTCCTCATCAAACTCTTCCATTTTGACCTCGTGCGCCCCCCTCGGCTATTGAAAACACCGACTTTAGATTCAGACAAAAATTGGTTCCCTTTATTAAGTCGTTTTCGGATTTGGATTTTGCCCCCCGCCGCCGACTTCGTTTCGGGGGTTACTACTATTCCGAGCTCTAGTACCGTCAGAGGGCGGGATCGTCATTTCGGTTCCTGTTTTTGGTCCCATTCCGATCCCTTAGGGTACGAAGTTTTTCGCGCACCCCCTCTATTCTGCCCGCGACCTCGGCAAGCATAATTGCCGCCCGGCGCCCCTCCTCTCGATGTTGAGGGTTGAGGATCCCGATTTTCATTTGGCTCAGCTCGAGCCTTGTCTTTTTCGGTCTCGAGGAACCTTGCCCTACTTTTTTCATTTGGGCTCGGAGGTTTTCTTCCTCTTCCGCATCGAGCTCTTCCGGGGAGATATACCAGGAGGTCAGCTTTTCTAGCGCCTCCGCCTGACCCAATTTCGTCAGGTTGTCCGAATTCAAAGTGACCCGGTTCTGGTAAATGCCCCTCAAATCGAAGAGGGACACTTCCTCAGGATTCTGCGTTTCAATCCATTCTTCTATCGCCCGGTTCACCTCACTAGCCGGATGGGCCAAATCTCCCTTTTCTGGTAGGTTCGTCCACGTAGGTGTGGCAGCATCCTCGCTTGCAGGTTGTTTCCCCAAGCCACTAATGATTTGGTCACCCAATTCCTTCGCTTCCCAGGAACGGAATTTTTCGTCCCGGAGATTGGCCTCGCCGATTTCAAAGAGGACAAGCTTTTTAAACGCAGTCCACTCGCGGTTAATTTCTCCGCCATTTCGAAGTGTCTGGCAACCAGCAGAACTGTTCAGTTCTCAGGACACATGTCTTCCCGAGAAACCCCCCATTATTATTGTAAAGACCGTCGAGAATTTCCTCTCCGATCAGGTAGGCACATCAGGAAGGACCAATTCCGGCCTCCTGTCCTACGTTCATGCTCTGGCCGGACTCAGGGGTAGCAAGTTTCGCTCCCGCCAGCTGGTTCTCTAAAGCGGTACGCCGCGCAATTTCGGCGGCGTGATGTGTTATTAACCTTAATATGATGTGCCACAAAGTTGTTCGCCGACAAGTCAACTTCGTCCAGTCGAGCGATAATAGAATCATGGGGATTCGAACCAGTCACTCGATCGTTTACTCTAATGAGACCCAGAGGTACGAATCTCGAGTTTCCAAATACCGGAGAGTGATGATGAATATTCAGTGAGATATACCGATCACTTCCTACAGCTGTTGCTTCATCGAATGACATCGATAATTTGTATCCTGCAAAAGCGAATAGAACCTTCGAGTCAGAACTGCGAAGAAGGATAGGTTGGTAGGATAAGAATGCTTCTGTGGAACGAGACGATTCGGCGAAGAGCCAAAGGTCAGACCTCGTTCCGAAACGTTTCTCAGGATGACCCTGATGCTGTCCCTCGCAATATACGCAACCTCTTTGAGATACTTCCGAAGAGTTGTTCTTGGTTTTGGGGGCTGCATCTCGCTCGGGTATGCGCGAGAGAACAGCCGTCTGATCGCACCCGAATTCAAACCAGTCGAACGACTTCATTTTTTGCCGTATGCGTCTTCGTGAGGAAACTATCAAGCTGAAGTTGGTCCCGTTCTCCATTCCGTGATGGACTTCGTTCTGCCGGTGTGACTGGCGGATCTCTACCTTCGATCTCCGACGAACCTTCGTACGGAATCTCATAGAATCCTGGAGCAGTTTCCCTCGATGCTGAATCCGGACTATCGTTCGAGACCAATGATCTTGGAAGACTGTCTTTCGTGACCGCGTGCTTCTGCTCTTGGTGCTTGATCATCGAGCTCGTCGATCCGTCGGTTTTGAGAGCCTGTCGATCAGAACGATATAGGTGTGTGTTCAGCTTTCTCTAGCTCTAGCCAAACAGAGTAAGAGAAAATTTTTCTCTTTGGAAATCATCATCGAGGAAAACGTTCTCGAAGCGAGGTCACTTCCCGAACTTCCTCTATCAGGGAACATTCGGTTTGCTGTCGCTCACCAATCCGCATATGTCACAGCGAGCTGCGGTAGCGTTTTCGTAGCCCAACTCTTCAAATGGCGAACTTCACGAAACGGGTTCATTTTCACATAATTTTCATGGAATCTCGGCGAGAGACCGGCCGGCGACGCGGATGGATCGTCGTGCGACGCTGCACTGGTCCTCTTTCCGCACTGCGCGACTCACGCCAGCGTGCATAGTGCACGTCTGTGAACCGGTCAACCAGCGAATCGTGTATATATCAGCGACGTTTCGTCGTCATTCATCACACAAAATGGCTCTTCATCATTCGCTTCTGAATTTCGGCGGAAGACGTCGCCATGGCTTTCCGATTCCAGAACCCGCGGGTCGTGGGAACCGAGAGAATTTGCGTGGTTCCGGAACCGGAAAAATATCCCAGGTACCCGTGGGTTTTGGACCGCGGTCTGGACCTGCTGACAGCTCTGCAAACTGTGAGACCGGATATACGGGGAGCGTAGAAATTGAATCAGTTTGTCTCCTCTCTGACGGATTGAGACGGACAAGACGCTTTCGAAAGCACACTCCTCTGCTGCAATAACTGCTGCGTCGTCAAAAGCTTCGCTCCGGGCCAGATCAACGGAAACATTGAGAATCAGTGACGCAACGAGCGCACGCCCCGCCGCGAGCTTCATAGCACGACCATCGAGAAGCCCCCCTCCACTCGTTCGAGAATCTCCATCGCGACTCCAGCTGCTCGCATTCTCAAGAGATTCCCCGCTGGCGGTAAATTCACGCTCCCGAACCTCGGACCAGAGTGCCGGAAGAAGGTTCAGACCTTCCGGAGAATCTCAGCTCGAACTCCGGAGCAGATTCCGGATGGGCTCAAGGGCGATTCGATCGATGTCAGTCCTCGTCAAACAGCTCCACTAGACGGTCCTCTCTTTTGAGTTCCTCGACCCCACGCACGACTTCACAGCCGATTCCTGACGTTCGCTCAGATCTCGGAGAGGAGGGGGTGTCGAGATGCAGCTCGGTGCAATTAGTCGGAGACGTCTCTGGCTTCGGGGCAGCGACTCCAGTGACCGGGAACACGGTCTCGAGAAGGAGACGGCAACCCTTCTGCTCCTCCGAGTCGGAGGGATCGCGGACGGCAGCGTTCGTTATTAGTGAAATTGTTTTTTGGGGTCGGCTGTTCTTCAGCCCGTGCCTCAACCCGAGTGACGGGCTGGCTGGCTTGCTTGCTTGCTTGCTGGATATCTTGCTCTGGCTATCCGTCCGGCGCGAGATGTCGAGAGACTGTCAAGATGGTGTGAAGAAAAAAATCGGCAAACAGCCTCGTCAAGAACGTAGTGGCGAGAAAAAGATGGAAACGAGCAAAAAAGATGTCAGACACCACGACGCGGCCGGTTGCAGTGTGTGCGGGAATTCTAATCGGCACGCGAACATAACAAACAAGAATCTTCCAGCCATTACTGTTCTCGATCGGAATGCCACGATTCAGATTCTCGATTCTCCGGGATTGAGAGGCATGGAGACTTGAGATCGCTGCGTGCTTCTAATAATTTCCTGGATGATGAATCAAGAGTGATCTTTTCACTTGCAGGAGTTGCGTCTACGCGTCTCGGGGGACCGAGATGCGGCGATGGGAGCCGTGGGCCCGCCGGGGTGCCCTCATATTGCGTTCCATCGCTCTCCTATTGCTCCTCAAATCGCATGCACCACCTGTCGCAGCATCGCATTGGGCTTTATCGCACGTGTCCGATTACCTACCGTATCATGCAAATCCGTAAGTAAATTAATTTTTCCATCTCGCCAGTCCCGCACCGATAGTCCACCAGAGGCTCATCGACGTAAATTCGAAGGGAGTCCGCTCGGCGGATCATCTGACTGTGCGTCGTCATCCGCAAACGTTTCGTCGTTTTCCTTACGGGAGAAGAGAAGATAATCTGGAGCATCCACACGGAGGTGACGCTAGGCGGTCGTGCGAACGGATCCAGAATCCCAAACACGAGAGGAGTTTGAGAGCAAATCGGCGCGCCAGGAAAAGCTCCGTTGTCGAAAGCCTTCGACACGAAGTCGAAAACGTTGTCCGTGTCCCAGGGACGATTGCCTCATATATTCTCCCTGCGACGCCCCTCACGGCGTTTGCTCTCCCGTGCTCCCACAGCCTCACGTATTTACAAACGGCGGCGCAGACGGAAGGAAGGAATCGTCACTCGGAAGACGACCCGGGAATCTACTCCGCTCGATACTCGTCCGACATTTCCCCAAGACAGATCGCGCTCGCGTGCCACGCATCATCCTTCTCACGGAGCGCTCGAGCTCAGTATGGGGGCGGAAGTGTCCGAAAAAACCGAATTCACAACATACGGACATTATTTCTCGCCGAAGGAACAGCTCCCGGTGCTGTAGCCGGGGAGTCGCCACGTACCCGAAGGATCCTGTCCCCGGAACCATCGATTTTCTTCCTTTTGGCCTGAACACTTCCGTTCTCAAGTCTGTTCTCGGGAAGGGGAAAAGGAGACGCGCTGACAGGATTTAGGAGGAGCTGTGACAAGCTCACACACGATCCGGATGTAAATCCGATTGAGGAATAAACTTTCCGAGTTTTGCGAATATCCACCAGAACACGTTTCGGATTATCGAATCTCTTACATTAAGAATCGCTTATCGAATCCTCTGAAACGGGGAGATTCCCTCGGCGGATTCTGCGAGACCTTCATCGCTGTCGGTTCGAACCCTCCTATGCTTACCTGCCTCCTAGCTCGGCCGTCGGTCTGTGGAGCTGTTCCCCTTTCCAGCGGGTCATAAAGACTCCCTGACTGGACATGGGGGTCGGTCCGCGACCGATATAAGGTGAGAGCGGGCTGGCCGATAAGATTTTGTGCCGACCGAAGGCACCGAAAGGAATGCGAAGATGCGTGTGGGGTTCTTCGCCGATAAGGTGAACGCGATGATACGGGATTGCCTCTGCTCGCGCAGTTTCGAGCCATCCTCCGAAGCGAAGCGGCCGAGTTCTGGATGAAGTGAAGGGATTTGCGCTGTTGTTCCTTGAGCCGGGGAAGTGATAAAGGGATCCGGAACTTTCCGCGACGCTCATAAATACGGAGCCGTTCATTGTCCTCCCTCGATTCTCGAGACTCAAACATCTGTTTTGAGAATTCGGAAGCGGTTCCTCGCGAGAGCCGAGGATTCCGAAAAAGGAGGAAGAAGCACGGGAATTCGGCGGATCAAATACAAACGATTTGAGTCCTGCGGATGCTGCGGCTTTAGACTTTTGAGACTCTCGTTCCGGTGGAGAGCTCCCTCGTGGAAACATTGATGGTCCGCGTGTTCAGCGCACGTGCTAACATACTTTGAACCCGATCACTCTTTCGTAGCTGCATCTCAAACTTGGCTTTCCAAGTTTGCACGGCGCTCTCCTTACGGAGCGAAGGACAGATAGCCGGGCCGACCGACCGGCAGGCAGGAAGGTGGTCGTGCTTTCAGGACTTCCTGGGGCTGACTGCAGCACCGAACTGTACGAGACATGACTCTCTATGGCAGCAGTGTCCGTGTAATTGCTCCATCCACATCAGCCACTGCTTTGTGGCTCTCGTTGTGGCAACTGTACCTGCCAAGCGTTCGTACGCCTCTCCCCTCTCATTCGATTTTCCTCGGCTCGGGACCTAGGTTCACAGTTCCCCTTCTTCCTACTTCTAATGGTTTCCGGTTCGGTCAGTCGCGCTCTTTCCATGTCAGGTATTTCCTTTTAGCTCTTCCAGTAGTTGAGGATGACAAACACGTATCGCTCGATCGGACCAGCTTCTCAGACTCGGAACACCGACCCGAGTCCAGGTACCTCCCCCCTCCTGTATGCTCGCAGAGAATCGTAGCTGCCTCACATTCTTCAGGATGAACACCTGGAATGGGAGAGGGCGTCGGTCGCTCCGTGGACTACGTAGGAGTAACGATTAGTTTTCAGGCATCTCAACAGTTCCCTCTGCGAATGAGGGTTTCCGAAGTTCCCTTGTTTCTGATAGTGAACCTTTCTTCCAGGACTCATCTGGTGCTCTGTCCTCGATATATCCGACAAGGACAACCGTACCGGTTCTTGGTTACTTTGTTTCAATTGTCGAGACCGGTTTCAGTCACTGCAACCATTCATAGGGATAGCGTTGAAATTGCCAAACAGGAGCGAGAATTGTCTTCCGAAAGAGTTCCAGAACTCATCACTTTACAGGTAAGGATCGGTAGATGGGGGCGAACAAACAAGGGGCGGGCCGACCATAGGTCCGATGGCTCCGAAGCTGTTCGGTCTGGCCACAGCCCTTGTATCAGTAACCTGGAAAAACCCAGTGAGGCAGGAGACGCTCCGCCCATTTTCTCAATTCTTCTCCGGGTGATTGGGAATCGGGGAAAGGGCGGCGGTGCGCGATTTTCGGCCAAACAGAAGGGAAACCCTTCGCTCAGCGATTTTCTCCGTCGATTCCGGCTAGAGGGCGGCACAGAATTAGCTGATCCGTAGACTTCCGTGACGGAGCTCGCCGCGGAATCGAGAAAATCAGACAATGGACAACGACGGAGTCCGACTGAGTGATTTCTCGGATGAGAAGAGCTCGCTTCAACAGGAGATGTGACGGCGTCATTCCCGTTGACGTTTACTTCAACTAAGACGAGACAATCAGGGAGCGGCACCGTGAATCTCTCGGTTGATACACTTCGCGTGATATGGGGGGCATTCTGTTCCTACAAAGGAGGAGCAGCCTACGAAAACTCGGTGGGATAAGGCCTCCGATGCAACCAGTCACTCTGGCGTGTCTCCTCCGACCGGGTCTCTAACGCCGCAAACACAAGTCATCTGCGTAATTACCGCTGGATGCCGGGGTCGAGGATGGTGGGGGTGGGATGACTTCCGAAAAGCAGCAAGCCAATAGGCTCCGCTAATAATATAATTGCTCGCTCCGGTAATACGGGAACCGTGATGTCCTTGTCCGACTGTCACCCACCCTAGGCTTCTAGGCTGGCCTGATGCGGAGCAGGAAGCAACTTCATCGGTGGTAGATCGAAACTCACTGCTCTGTCAGCATCCGAAGCTCACGGCAAAGACTGATAACGTGTTGGATATCGAGACGGGGTGTGTTTGCTGAAGATCCTGAATGCCACGAAAGATATCGATCGATTTCAGCTGCCCGCAACGCTGTCCCCGGGTCGATATCGTCTTCTGGTCGAGGGCTCGATGAACGACTATAATGGAGGCGTCGCTTTCAAAAATGAAACCCGACTCATTCTGCTGCAAAGATCTCTAACCATCGTCGTGCAGACAGATAGGCCGCTCTACCGACAAGGGCAAACAGGTAACGCTCATTTAATGTCTCAGAGCCGCACAAGGTCTCGGCTCTCCTATCTTCTCTGAAGTTTCTCAAGTGAAAACTATCCCCGACTACCTCTTTCAGTGAGATTTCGGGTTATTCCGATCACTACCGAATTCGACGGCTACCAGGAGGCTCTCGATGTCGGTATGCTCAACCCGGGAAACATCGAGATGAAGAGATGGCTATCCCGGAGAACCACGGGCGGTTGGCTAGCGCTCGAGTACGCACTATCCGAGGTGACTCAATTCGGTCGTTGGACGATACGCGTCAAAGCTAACGGCTATACTCATGAAGAACACTTTTACGTCAAGGAATATCGTGAGTTTAGCTCTTCTCCTATCGATACGGCATTCCGAAGCTGAAAATAATATTAATCGGGCTTTCGCTCTCCCTAAGAGATCTCGGACTCGAGGTATGGCGAGTGAGTTCTTCGATCGAGAGTTTGACGAATTTCGTTTGTTCTCAGACACTCCTCCGTTCGAAGTTCGCGTTTTCAGTCCGTCTTTCATCGTTTCGTCGGATCAGTTTCTCCGCGGAACCGTCCACGCTAAGTGAGTTGATTGGAATTGAAAACGCGTAGCTGTTAAGCTGGAGGTCGATGAACCACAATGCAATCGGGACGCTACGAGCAACCCCGTGAAGAGCACATCCACGGAGTGGGTTTCGAGTCTCGGATTCGAATTAATAAACAATTCCTTGCCTTTTCTAGTTATTCCAGCGGCGCACCAGTCAGTGGAAACATCTCCGTAGTGGCAGTGATGGAAGCTGTTCACAACGAGGATTCAAGAGAGAGCCGGGGCTATGAGATGAGTCTCGATTCTGTGAGTACACTAAGTATGTCACCGAGAAGCCGGCATTCCATTCGGAATCAGCATTCCAGAACCAGTCTCTTTTCGTGTTTCGAATTCTTGAGGGGACGTCGTCAGACTCTCGCTTAGGCCTCTCGGGCAAAAATCGCATAAATTCGCCCGAAGATCGGAGGAGAGTACAGGCGCGAGACGGTGGACTCGCTGTCACGCTGAGGAAAGCGACACGCGGAAACTCTTCTCTCCCAACGTTCTAGTCAGGAGGGCTTCGAGTGCTTGGCATAAGCGCGCAAAGTGACCGACATGAATCAAGCATAGCTGGCTTCCACTTTGAGCGTTTTCAAGCTGTCGGATGGGCGCACAGGAGATTTACAGGGGGTTATTATACACGAGGCCGAAGCGTAATTAGGACAACGAGTCTGCAAGAAATTTCAGACTAGACAACCATTTAGCCCCAGGAGTGACAATCGCTGTTCATCTGAACTCATTAGTCCCCAGAGCGCGTGTGAGGCCGGATTATTTTCTTGCGAACTCGGTACATATGTTCGAAAATTCGAAGAGGCACTAATGGAAGTCCCAGGGGAAATCGGAATTCCAGACGAATGGCTTCTCGGGGTATCGAAAGAGAAGGATGAATTTTTCCGCGACAATTTCTCGACCACGGAACCGAAGCAATGAATTAATCTAGATAATCACTTTTTCCGAGATTTCGTATCCGTATTTTCATGGGGCTCGAGTCCGGGCGGAGCGAGTGGGTCACGGTATGTGTCCAAGTCCGAAACGGACCGTGTACTAATTCCATTTTTGAGTGCTCTCTGTGAACCGCCGAATGAGTTGTTTCCCGGTTGCGCTCTCTGTTTGTTCTCTTTCAACAACAGTACTCGGGAAAGCTTGCTGAGAGTCTTCCTGTTCGCTAATTCGATACTTCCGTTTCGCTTTCCCTTGCGCAATCTCCCTCGGTATGATCATTATGTATTCGGAAATCGAATACTTCCTCCACGATCCGAGGGCGGGAGAATCCGAAGAGCATCTCCCGACCATGATTTTTCAGAGCTCTTTCCCCCAAACATCTGCTCGAACTTCTCAGAGTTCAACTTTTGGCTTCTCAGCGACTTGCTGTCGACTCCTCGAATTATCTTGTTTCCCTCTACTCGAAAAGTGAACACAGAACTTGCTACAAGACGTGGATTTTGCCACTGCCGTGAGCTCTTCCCGAAGTTCGGGGCACCGATTGTGCTTCGAGAGAATTCCCGAGAAACTTTGTGGACTATCGTTGGCTCTTCACCGGAAGCCGCATCAGGGATTTATTTAAACTTGACGCCAACTCGCTCGGGGCCTTATTCATGATGAAATCGATGAGGAAACGATTGCCGCCTGTCGGCCGACCTGATTTACATAGAGTTCCGCGGCCAGACCTAGCTCCGCGGAGCGAGCGAAAGTACGCACGGGCAAGCGATTATCGATGAACATACATATTTTGCAGTTCTACGGCATCTGGGATTTCGAGTTTCCCATAGGAGACCTCCTGCGATCGACCAACAACGTGCAGAGGTTCAAACTGGTTGTTAAAGCAAAAGTAATGGATGTGCGCACCTCGCTCGTCCGCAAAGGATACTCGGAGTCGCTCATCTTCAAAAAGTCGTACACGTTACGCTTCGAAGGACCCGCCAAACAAGTTTTCAAACCGGGTCTGCCCTTCAGAGCCCGCGTAAGTATCCTGTGTTACAGTCGTTCGCTCTCCCCGGTGTCAGACAACGTTCATTGACGGCCCCGTCGGCGGGGCCGCGCTACTTGTTGACGTTGACGCCACTGCTTCAGTGACGGAAGAGGACGTGAACGAGACATTGATTTCAGATCGAGTTGCGCTATCAGGACGGGACTCCGGTTGAACAGGAGTGGTTCCGAGGACGACCCGTCTCGCACTACCTGCGCGCGTCGGTGTTCGTAACGGGTTTGGCCGCACAACCGAAACTGCAGCATCCGAGAATTTTCGACCTGGGGAACACACGATGGGAGATTCAGATCGACGCAACACCGAACTGGTCGAACTCATCCCGACCCATCTTCCTCGAGGTTTGTTCGCAGTGCTTGGCGCTATCTCAGATTCTCCACACTTTCTCCCGACCCGGGTCAGGACAGTGGTTCGGAGACCTCTACCTCTACCGACCCCTGAATCTATGGCTGCGACCAGGGGTTCAATACCATAGCTTGCGACACGCACTCCGAGACTCGATGGTAGCTTGCCGATCTCGCGGTCATCCCCTGTCGATTCTGAAGGAGAACAATCCCGGACATGCTCCTAAACTCCTAAGCGAATGAGGAATATCTTCCCTAGCGAGAATGATCCCTTTCATTCCCTACGACTTCGAGGCATCCGTTGCAGGCGCATCTCTTCGACGAATACTTCGGAGTCGAGCGATCGAGACTTGTCCTCCTTCCCGAGTTCTCAGAGAACTCTCATCATCTTTCGATATCGACCAGCACCAGAAACGCCAAAGTGGGCGAGTATATCATCTTCCACGTCCGATCCAACTACTACGTCGAATCTTTCCAATATTTGGTGAGTTCCTTTCGTCTCCGATGCCCGTGCAGTCATCGGTAGTTTGTCGCACAGCGGGCGCCTCCCCTTCTTTTGGTTTTTTCTTCCCCGTCGACGTTCTTATCCCTCTGACGACAAGGCTTCTTCTCTTCATTCCTAATAGATGGCTTGTCCACTAGGACGGAGGGGGAGGGGGGTTCGGAGCACGTCGTTATCTACCACTGAAGTTAGCCGCTCGGGTGGGCGGCAATGGCAGCGGCATCGGGCAGACAACTCAGTTGTCGTCGCTCATGTGTACGATGCTTCCATTGTTGCGCCGATCATCCCTGCCGGCTGTTCCCCTCGCTAGCAGTCGGTTGCTACTTGTGCATATTTGCCATTGTTTTGCGCGTGGTGTTCCATTATTCCGTCGGGGACGCGTCGGGGTTCGGCTGCGCTTTATATCCGACGAAGCATGAGCCTCCTTCGTTCCCTACAAGTGATTGTTGTCGTTGCTTACAGATCATGGCAAAGGGCGTCATCATCAAATCGAGTGTGGAGTCTATGACAACATCAATTCGAACATTCGCCGTGACCTTGACCAAGCAGATGGCTCCCAAGGCTCTGATTATCGTCTACGACCTCACGGCAGACGATAAGCTCCTCGCGGACAGCCTCGAGTTCTCAGTAGACGCCATAGCGTCGACGGAGGTATTCACGCTTGCCATGAGAGAAATAAAAACATTCACAGCCTCCGAGCGAAAGCCTCAGAGCCGAAACCGACCTTGTCGATTCGACGAATTCCAGATGAGCGTACGCACCGATGTGAAAGATCGATCCGGAGCTAACATCGAGTTGACAGTAGGCGGTGCCGTCGGTTCCTTCGTGGGATTGTCGTCGCAGCCTCTCGACGTGCTCTCGAGTTTTATCCACCATCCGATCTCGAATAAAAAAGTGAGTACGAGCCGTTGTATGGGTGTTCTCTTCAGCCTCGACGTCGTTTACGTCCACTGGGCTCAGCATTGTCCTTGATGCTATCATTTGCGAACTGCTGAACGATTAGGCCTCGGCGGCGATTAGCTCAAGTGTCCGAGAGCTTTCACCGGGTGAGTTACGTCAAAGTGAGCATCAGCGGAACGGAAAACAGCCGGACGGACAGACGGGCAACTAGAGCCAACTTACATAAAAGAGAGTGCTTCATATCTATCATCTCGCCAAGATACACACACAAACTCGTGCAGACTGTGGTAAACAATCGCTGTGAGAGCTCTGTGGTTCTGGAGTCGCCGGAATTGCCGAAGACGAGCGGGTCGCGATACGCTCTACGATATCGGAGGAAACAGTACGCGGCGGAGAGAGCTCGTGTAAGACGATCCCGGCCAATGCTGACCGTCCACGAACGCCGAGATATGCGCGTACTGAATTCCGTCCGGGGAAGATCGGAGCGAAAGAAGGAACTCTATCGATCGTGAGCATCGTCAGCGATTTTCGTTCGTAGGAGACGGACTTTCCGGAGGCTTCGGAGAAACGTCGCTCACGTGCGAGAGAAGGAATAGAGGGGAACGTCCAACACGAGGACACACCGCCCGGATTGGGGATGGCATTTTGCGCGTGTCGGCTGTGAAGCGGTTCGAGAGAGCGAGTCTCTGCGTCGAGTCACATTGTGGTGGACGCAGTTTCAAAAAGATACTACCCCGTCGACTTCCTCGGAAAGTTTACTCGCCTCGCGCCGTGGAATCTTCGGAGATACGCGGATTCGTCTTCGCCGTCCAACTTTTGGACCGGGAGGAGAGGAGAAATTCAGATTCTCATGAACACGTTGGAATCCTCCGGCCTGCTCCGGCGGGTCTCGGAGCGATATTACTCCTGGAGATTTCGTCTTGCGGAAATCTTCGGAACGTCGCTCGGAGCACGCAACAGTCAAATCAGGCGGCGGGTGACTCGTATCACGGGGAAGACGAGATACTCCGCTCATCATGTCGACGCGAGGAAAAGGATCTGCTCGAGCTGTCGGGATAAGGTTTCCTTCAATGATGACGAGAATATTTCCCTCACCTAATGAGTACAATAATATGATAGAATTAGGGCAGTAGTGGCAGACAGGAATCGTTCCGGAGCTACGAATTGTCGACCGTATGGCTTCTCGTGCCAGCTGAGAATCTACGGGAGCCCAATGATCAGTCACACCTCCCGGGTTAGACACAACCCAACACCGTAAGACCTAACGGACACCCATGTTGGCTCACCAAGGCGATTCACAGAGCTCGGGGTCGTAAAAACCATAAACGACCGCAACGAGTCCGAGACATTCATTCTCGCACAGACACATACGACACCTCTACGTTGTGGTTGAACAAACGACTGCTCGGCTTAGGCCGCATCGGTTACTCTGACTGGTTGAGCAAGCGGTATCTTCGTGTCGGAAACCGAAGTTTTCGACTCCACATCTCGACCAGGGAGTCTGGTCGCTGGAGCGGAATATATCTGCGGATTTTATCATTTAATCCGGCCGGAGTACAAGCGAGGACACCTCATTCTATTGGGGACATACATTCTCCCTATAAGAAGACGTGCAGCGCCATGATAAACCAAGGAAGCGTACCAGCCGGTCAGTTCGGATTTTTCGCCTTCGAAGAATTCGTAGACATGGAACGTCGTAACGGATACCGAAACAACGTTGAGGTTATTTCTCTTTCCCTATGTGGGGAAAGCGTGTCTGTTTCGTATCCCGTTCAACATTCTCGGAATGTGCTCTCCGGGCCACTTAAAGGGTTATGGCGTACCGACTACCCTTTCAAGTGTATTACCGATCCTGATCTTCGCGGCGGAAACATACGATACTCAATCTCTCAGATTTCTCCATTGGGGGACTCCCGCTACCCGAACCCGGCGATTGCAGTGAGGGGCGGAGCCTCGATAGTCGCGAGTGACGTGTCGCGGAGCAAATTTTCGTGAGTCCCCCAACCGCGGACATCACCTAGCCCGTCTCGGTCGTGAATCGGCCTTCCGCACGAGCGAGATATCGAGACAGATGCTAGGAGCCTCAGGAGCTGCGATAGGAGTCGGCAGTCATCGAGTCGGTCTCGCTGAGCAGTCGCTTAAAGACTCTCCGGGACGAATCACCCGATGCAGCTCGGAGCCCGCTCCCGAGGGACCGCAATTGTTTTGTTTTACGATCTCTTTACTGTCTGTCTGCGTAACTCGGTGCGACAAACGAGCCAGGGTATTTTCCTCTGCGTTGACCTGTCATTTGTTCTTGTGTTTGCTTTTTCAAACAGATTGCGTAACCTGCCTGTCAGAACATCGGTGCATGCATCGACTCCGTTGTGTTCGCAAACCGCCAAAAAGACACACGGTCTGCTGCGAGCGTTTTTGCAATTCAACTTTGTGGGCCCTCGAGCGTGTCCTGAGCGGCACGAGTCCCGGCCGCGGTTCAGTCGGTCAGGCGGCTCGTCTGCGCATCTATCAGTCAGTCCGTCAGTCTTTTCAGGAGCAACAGGGAGCTCGAAGCTTTTTCGAATAACCAAGCCACGGTGTTCGGAGCGGACGGGAGAAAAAGAACACAAAGGAATCCCTAGCGCAAATATTTGCCGCCTAAATGAAATGAATTATTGCAGCGAGAAGCAAGAGCGATCCTGCGCACTTCTACCTCAACCAGGAAGGCCTTGCCGGGGCCGACTCCGGCCGGAAGGTGCCGAGATCTAGGTTCTCCGTCTGTCCATTAGATACATTATATGTAGACCGTTTTCCAGCCGATCCGATCAGCTCTCGAGCCGACAAGTTGGCAACGCTCGACCCAGTGCCTGCTCGGCTCACTATATCGCTGGCTGCTGGTTCCGCCGTTTGAAGGGATTATCTAAGCACGACCGCAGCTTACTGATTCCCAAAACTGACAGCGGCAGCAGCAGCCGCAGCGGCAAGTCTTCCCAGGAGATTTGTTAAAGAGCCCAGCGAGGCGAGGGAGAGAAAAAATCTTTGAGCTCCTCCCCGAGTTGTCGACTGTAGAATTCTCCTCGCGGAATTCCGTCCAATCCAATAGCGGATTACTTCTCGGCGTCGGAAATGTCTTAATCAGATGTTCGGCACACCTCTCGAGTCCATTGCAAGGACGAACAATGTAATCGCGCTCCGAGTCGTAGATGAAGACCGATGATGACCTACCCCTCCAATCCGTTCAGCGGAGTAGGTAGGTTATTCACTCTCCATCGACAAGCCTAAACTCGCGCGTTTTCGGTAGGTGGACTCGGCCTTGGAATTCACCGACAACAACGTGCCCCACACGACCCAGATGGACACTCACTCCACATTCCAGGTGAGGCTTGAGTTGTGAATTTGAAGCTCCGGAAAAACGGCGCCCTCAACCCCTATGCTCTCTCTTCACGAAAAAATCTTGTCAAGCTCCGCGTCACTCTCGGGAGCGATTAGAGCCGTCACACATAGATCAAATCTTAATCCTCCGCCCGGAGAACTCTCGTCCGATTCCGGGTCTGGACGTTTGCGCGCAGGCTGAGCAAAGGTCATCCAGAATTCGAGGATGTCGCGATCACGAGTGCAGCTCATCTCAGGCTTGGCAATCAGCTCTGGGGTTGGCAAATAGCTGTTTGCGAATAGTGTCGAGCTCCCAAGGGTTGCCGAGCATGAGTGGTCAGAGGAGTTCGCGAGGGGTGTGGCGACGCTGCTGCTGTCGTCGTCGTCGCACTCGTCGTAGAAGTCGTTGTTGCTGTTGTCGTCGTCGTCGTCTGCTCGTAGCGATGAGTTAATTGCAATCACCTTTTTCAGGCTTCCGGCTTGGCGCTGTTCAGCGATGCGTACGTGGGCCGACGTCCCCGCGTTTGTAACGCTTCCTCCGGCTATGCCTCCTGTTTCGACGGCTCATGCTATCGCGCTTCAAAGAGCTGCAACGGCGTAGATGACTGCGCGGACGGTGCCGATGAGTTTTCATGTGAGCGCCTTTGATATTAAATCACTATACTGAAAGTGATAATTAGGCAGTGTCGTCTGCGTCATAGGTTTCATGCTCATGACTTCCGGGGAAATGATTCGGGACGGTGGTCGTGACGTGGAGATTCCAGAGCGGAGCAATCCGAGGCCTACGAATAGTAGGGAAGTGCTTTCAGATGTTCCGGGGGGGTTCGCGCCCCGAGGGTTCGGCAGCAGTTTCGAACGAGGTCGAGAGCTTGCGTGAATAGTTTCAACTTCATACGTCAATCGATTGACGCGTTATCGATCGCTATTTTACTTTTGAGCCATGAGTTCTGCTCAGTGGCCTTGAATAGATTCGGCTCGACTCGAGTTCTATGGATGGGGACCATATGTCAAAAGAATTTCATGTTTCCGTCCTTTACTGTCGGCGGATGTTCGACGTCGTCGGCTCTGGGTGGGGGCCGAGCTCGAGGAGCGAGCAGAAGTCGATCAAAGCATAAGACGCTTGTTCATCGAAGAGACTGCGAATAGGACCGTCTGAAGTCGACGGTTCATTTTTTTCCTCCGTCCCGTTCCCCCCCCCTCCATTCTCGTCGAAAAAGCAATTCTGAAAGAGCCAAATGACACCCGACAAACGTGTGGGTAGTAGAGACGGAAAAGGGTTTGTGGTCGGGTTGGAGGAGAAATCCGGAAGAGGAACGCTCGTGGGGCGCAACTCGGTCTGCGGCGGGGTCGAAAGCAGACCGGGGTCCGCAGTCGGTCGTCCCGCCGTGTTCGGGCCTGTAGTGGGAGATGTATTAGAGTGGAGGGCAGTAGAGTACCAGGGTCAGGGTCTGGCTGCACGCCAATGATTTAATGGAAGTGGGACTTGAGCGTATCGTTTAGTGATGCCCGCCGAATGAGTTCCTTGCATACAATCCACTGTCGGCCGAGTGGTTTGGTCTCATTTTGGAATGACGTAGCCGGGTCGACCCATCGAGGTTCTCCTATTGCGGCTGCACACTCACTCAGAAGGGCCGGACAACGGACCGAGTAGGTAGGGTGACCAACGAAGAAAATCACATTCTCCCCAACCAAATTGAATTCCAACTGGTGCGCTCCGACCTCATCCTGTTCAGAGGCATTTTCTCCTAATGACGAAATATCTTCGAGCTGAACGCAGAGCGTGGGGGAGCTCGATTACAGCGTTGTCGAGCCAAGAAATCGTTCCCTCGAAGCATCTCCGCTGGAAAAACGGAACGCGGAACGAAGAGAATGCGTGACCCTTTTCACCATCCAGCCCCGGAACATACATAGTACAAACCGAATACCTAGTTTAGAGAGGGAGACGGCTGCGGCCGCTGTAACACAATTTCCTGCTCGCTCGATCTTCGAAAGCATTGGCGATCCGTTTTCCAGGTCATCACAAACACGCCGTCGATTGGGAGAAATTCCGGAGGACTAGACGGAACCTCGTCAGTTCGGACTTTCAAGGAACCTGGTTGTGGAAAGATATAAGCATCAGGTATGGAGGAGAAATCGTATTCCCATTCTATCTTGATTTGCATTCCCGACCGTTTCGATGCTATGCGATGACCAGTTATCCCATCTGCACATATGATTCGTTGGAGTTTATTGTTCTCGATGGAATCATGACACCTTTCAGCACCAGCGGTCGGAATACCGTCTCCATCCCAACTCCCACTACTCCGATGCCGTGGGCGCTTTCGGCAATCGGCATCTCTCCTTTCCGCGGTGTTTATACCTTGCCTAACCCAGAGATGGTGAGTCAGGAGCAATTTCGTTCAATGGTACTTCACTCTTGACCTGGTTATTGCCCCCAACGATGTCGACATCATCTACGCAGCCAGAATTACGGCGTTCTTGCTCATAGTGATGCAAGGGCCTGTGGCCGTCGACGATGGCCAGCGGGGGACTTGAAGGCCTTCTTCGGCGCGGCTCAATTCGAAATTCAGCCGGGATCCGTCTCGTCGGACATCACCTGAAACGAATCGACTCCGCTGTCGTGTTCCGTACACTTCGCCCGTGAGAGCACGCGGATCGTCCGATTCCGCCGCGACGCCAGCAATGATCTCCCCCGGTACTTCCGGGCTATAGCAAGAATTCGTGGAAACAAGATGTCCTGGAACCGATCCAGAATTCAGATCTTCCATAGCTGTCCACGAAGCGGTACCCTCCGGGCTGTTCACGAGCACAGGGATTGTTGACAGCAGTTGCAGCGATTGGAAGAAAAGAAAGCAACAATCGCAGACGGAAGCAGCGGAGTCTTTCTCTTCTTGTAATTGATGCAGTCTCAATGAACGTTGTCATCAGTTAGCTCCACAGCCTCCACCAGTCGACGTCACAATCGTTCCCTAGGTCGACGAGATCCGTTGGATATCTGTGACACAACATCTGTTTCTCTCTTCCCGTTACCCCGTGCTCGTTGGCCCCTCAGCTCTCGATCCTCTTCTTCCCGGCACTACAGTCGCTGCTGAAGTGTCGACTCTCGTCTCAGCTCATAGCGGGCTGCCGATGACGTGGAAAGGAAACTGTCGCGCAAGACCTTTCACCGGGACGCGGATAGAGAGTTCAATCTCGACACCGAAAGTATTTCATTCCCACAAGCGTATGCCGCCTCGTCCTCGGTGGCACGCAACCGTTTTTCCAATGTCGGCCCGGGTCCCTGTTATTCGAGCCTCTCCCCGATCAATTGATCGAGTGGAAGATGGATAAACTCACGTTTCAGACGAGCGTTTCGTTTCCACCGACCAGCGCGACGTCAATTCGTTCCCGCGACTGTGGTTCCGACCGCAACGACAAATGCAGCTTTAACGGTGGCAATTTGTTCGACGTGCGTCACTGACATGAGTGTTGTTGCGTCGTCTACCGAGAGGAGAAAGAGCCACGCGAAACACATGGGACCTACACGAGGCGTCCTGGAGAACAAGTTTTCCGCAGTCGGTGCGTGAGCTCCCTCTCCGTCCGATGCTCGCCTCCGCTGTTCGAAGCTTCTTCGGGCGTCCGACGACAACTGGGATGTCGTCGACGCATGACCGTGTCGTCGGGAGCCAGCCAGCGACTTCTTCGCTGGCCGAGCGACCGAACGAGCGAGCGATGGAACGAACGCGCCTAGTGAAATATGGTGTCCCCCCGAGCCATCGTGGAAAAAGCAACGACAAATCGCCGCCACCCTCCTCTTGCTTGCCGTTCTGCTACAGCGGCGACGGCAACTATAGCGACACCAGTGAAAGAAGACCAGAGGCTTCGTTCGACGAAGCGCATGCTCCTCCGAGAATGACACACAGCGACTGGATCGAGGAAGAAGCCGATCATTTGTCATTGAGCTCCTCGCGTCGCCCGACTTCAGCTCCGCTCGCCGTTCGTCGACACCTCGCTTCATGTAGTCCGAGGGCCGCGACCTGAAGGTCCGGCGCCCTCCTTGGGCGTAGCTCAGGTGACGAAAACGATTGGGGGGAGGGCTATCGAGCCGGGCAGCCGGCCGGCCGGCTGGCTGGCTTGCAGACACTCGCTTGGAGGAAGCCGTCGAACGGTGCTAATGCGCGAAGTCGTTTGCAGCCAAACTAGAATTAATAGAAGAGCCGAAGGCAGCTAATGCTGACATCGACCCTGACTGAATCGCTCCGATACATTATAGATAGTTCAGACTAGCGCGAAGACGCTCACCGGGAAGGAGTTCTCAAGGCAGAACAGTGGAGGGTGGGATCCGGGGGCGAGTTAGCTCGGCTCCGAGTTAAGATAAGCAGCCGGTCTCAGCCCAGTTGAACGGCAGTTACCGCGCTCGCAGCCCGGAATGGAATGTCTCTTATTACTTTGTTTCTCCGCAGGTGACGTCTCCGCGTTTCTTTTTTATGACCGTTGATAGCCCCGAAATAGCTCGTCTCGGGGAACTGTTCTCGGTCCGTGTGGCCCTTTTTAACCTCGGCCAGACGAAGCTCGAGGTGTTGGTGACTCTGGCTAACAGCCTAGACTACAAATTCGTCTACGTAAACGCTTTAGAGAGAGACAATAATGACAGGTCGCTTCAGCCCATAACCATGTTTGGGGAACACCAGCATCTTGTGTTTGTGAGTATGCAAATCACGTCTAGCCTAATTCCGCTCCAATGCTCCCTTCCACTGAGTGAGCTGTTTCCAAAAATCGTTGAGTTAAGGGACGGCGCCCCGCAGAGGAAGGGAAGCTCCATAATTTTCGCCAGGGAATGAACCTGGAGAGCGTGAAGGTTACAGTCTTTCCGAAATTTGCGTCTTGCGAGGCCTGAGGATTTTCTCGACTCATTGGCAATCGTTTCCGTGTCTTTCAGCTTTGGCCACAACGCCCAGTCGTTCTTCTGTTCCCGATCGTTGGTATCCGGCCTGGGAATACTAATCTGACGGTCGCCGCCAAAACCCAAACGAGCAAGACATCTATCTCCAAAACCATTCGACTGCAGGTGAGTAGAGTGGTGATCCACTGGATGAGAGCTATCTTACGTGGCGCATGCACGATCGAATTCCTCCTCCAAGTCAATGCACCCAATTGAATCTCCCGAATTCACAGCGGAATTCTTGCTCGACATTATGTCTGCTCTGTGTTTCTTACGTGTTGGTCCTGTTCTTACCTCCCATATGGGCAATACCTCCATGGAATCACAAGCGGCAGGATTCTCGGGCTGGAAAACAGACACTCTCCGGGAACAACTCAAAGGGACTCAGAGGGAATTCTCGGTTGAGGTCTCGTGTACTGTGACTAGCCCGCTCCCTGGACAGCAGTATGCATGTACCGCTTTCTCAGAGGCAGCGCGGACGAACTGGCCATGCTGCTCGCATAAACGCCGCCTATCAAGGGAAGCCTCAAAATAGGCCACCTATGGTACAGCCGGTCCTTTTTCACTCTTCGCCTCAGCCTCCCGCCTCTCGTCCATCCATCCATCCCTCTATTCCTCGGTTCTTCGGACCTCTATCCGGAAAAACACATGGCAGTGATTACCTTCGCGCTTTCGGAGCATACGCGATGCTTCGCTTCCGAGCTCGAAGTGAATTCGAAATTGAATAGAGTGAGGAATAGGACGACTCACGTCTTTCCGAGAAGACGTGTCGAGATCTACATACAGATGAGACTTGCTGAAGCGATAATGAGGGGATTCTAAAGCGAATAAACGACCAACGGTACATTCTCATTGATAGCCGTCTTCGTTGAGAACGTTCTATCGTCTGCGTAAACACTCGAGAAGAAAGTCCTCATCAGGAGAGGGAGTCTGGTGACTTCGAGAAACTGTTTGCTCTTGATCTCGTTCTCAGCCTTCCGCGTCGTCTTTGCAGCCCGAAGGCTTCACGTGGTCGTCGTGGGCCTCGATGTTGGTGGATATTCCACGAGGCGCCTACATCATGAGGAAATTCGACACCGGGGTTTCGGCTCTTCAAGAACCTCCGTTGGCTTTGGCGGCCGGTCAAAGCCCCGGGGATCACAACACTGCTGTGATAACAGTCGCCGGTTAGTGGATTTACTCGCGCACCGTAGTCGCTTTGAGACGAATCAACGACGACGACGACGACCGCTGAGTAGGGACACGGGTGCGGAGTTCATCTACTGCCGTGCTCTATCTGCTCTGCCAGTGGACTTGCGTCTCCATCTCCTTGTGACAATCCTCTCGTCGACCATGATTCGGACCGTTATCCTGAGCCTAACGTTTAGCTTTCTCGGTACGCAGGAAGCGTTTTCGGGCCGCCGTTCCCGGTATCGCCGCTGACCGTAGAGACCGTGTTCGGACTTCCCGGAGGAACAGCTGAGGCGAATATGTTCTCGTTCGCGGCCAATCTTCTCTCGTTGCAGCTGATACAATCGAACAAGAATCTCGTACGCAAGCACAAACAGGTCTTCAACCACTTGTTCATCACCTATCAAAAGCAGCTGAGTTTCCAGCGAGAAAACGGAGGTTTCGCGATGTTCACCCACGGAGAAGTCCCAGCAAGTGTCTGGTGAGTCCGCCGATCATTCTTTCCATCATGTCTCTGAAGATCGTGATCAACGAAATAGTATATCTCATCCATCGGCCGTTACCCAAAAAAATCCAATTGGCGTCTTTTGCGTGTACGCGTTTGCGCACCGAGCGAGTTTTCGGGATTCGGGACTCCGGAGTTCGCCCTTTTCTTTTGGCACTCCGAAGTCCGAAGTGATTCCGGAGAGGTTCCTCCATGCTTCATAAGAGGCGCGGAAAAGCCTCTGTACGAGTTCAAGCTTCTTGAGCACCGACAGCATTCAACAGTGTCGTGCTGCGCGCTCGTTTTCTCGAAATGTTTTTCTTCTGAGTGATGCTGCACGAAGACAGCAGCGGCCGGCCCCCAACAGCGACGGCGGCGGTGACGTCCACGTCAAGAGAAACAGCAACAAGCGGAGCATCGGAAACAACAAGCGAGACATCGCTTTGTAACGAAATCGAGTCCGGAAACACCAACCGGAGTCACCGTTCGGACACGGCTACTTGGAGTTGGACTTGTTCACAGGAAGAAAATTGAAGGAAAACAGCAAACGCGGATCCGTGACGTCAACGGAGCCGACTCGGAGCACGCGATCTCTCTCGGCGTCGGGGCGTCGATCTGCAGTCGGAACGGAGCGACACTACCTACTTAGAAATCGCTTGGTCAGCGCGCAACGCGAGCTGCTCGGCAACTCTGCCCTTCCGGGGGGATCACTTGGGGCGATTACGGGAGAAACGGGCCGGCGAATAGTCGACGACGATGCGAATGCCATTAAGAAAAATAAAAAGGTCGAAGCGCGCTCAGCGGAGCAGGAGAACAACATGGATAGAGGAAGGAGTTCGTCGGAGGAAAGGAGGTGCCAAGGAAAAAGAAACTGTGTTCTTCGGAGCATTTGTCAAAGATAATTCTAGCCTTGCCAACTCTTTCTCCTCGCCTCCGTTGCCCCCACCGTCGCGCTGGCCTCCGGACGAGAGGAACGACGGCAGGCGAAGGGTCGGCGGTCGGCCTTCGTAATCCACTCCCGCGAAGTCTACCAGCGCGAACACCGAAGAATCATGGACCGACGAAGCTTTTGCGTTGCTCCGGTCGAGGAACGGACGAAGAACAACAAAAGAGAGCAACGAGCTACCAGCCACTTCATCTATCTCACGGAAGGGTTGCACCGACCGACCAGCGATGACTTCGGTGCAGTTTTTTCCCCCGGGAGCGCGGCGAAACGAGCGGATGAACACATGGAAGAGTTCTGCTGCTATCCCAGTTCCGCTGGCCTGCGAGAGATGACCGCACAGAGTCTGTAACCGAATTACGGGATGCCGGCCGGCTGGTCGGTCGGGTCAACGCGGCTTGTGGCGTGCTGATGGCCTGCGGGGAGTACATTGTTTTACGCCATGGGCTAATAAGTGATCTTCGGATGCAAACAGGAGCGGGCCATCCCGGCCGGTCTCGCCGAACACGCGTTCACCGTCATGGATTCTCCAGGCCCTCAGAAGAACTGAATTCCCGTGCAAGACCTACAGGCGATCGGGTGTCGATGAGTCATCGCGTATATATGCTGCGCTAACAGAAAAGTTCCGAGAAAGTTCGAAAAACAGTCGGCGATAGAGAGAACTCGGAGCTTGTGCTCGGACGACGTTGGGAAGCCCACTCCCGTCGATCGTCTGCCTCCCGTTTCCAAAATTTTCATGTCGCGGATGGGTAGGGAATCATTCGCTCAGGGCTCCAGGGAGGGAGTTCCCGATCCGGCCCTCATGAACTCCGGTAGAGAATTTCAATGCTCTGGTACTCCCGCTGCTCGAAATACCGTCAGCATCATCCGGGTCGCATCTCAGTCGGTCCGAATCTGCTCGCTCGGAGCGCCTGCTCCTCGACGGGCAACAGCCGTTATGCTGAATAGCAGAAACTGGTTCTTCCGACGGAATTCCGACCGGCGCCCGAAAAGTGGTGTTCTTCCGCATAAAACCGCACTTTCAGCCCTTTCGACGTAGCGCCACACTCCTCCATAAAACATACGTGGCGTCTGCAATGCGTTGTGACAGTTCGCAGTGTTTCGACCATGTTCCTCCTGGGCGATTTTCCCCTTATCTCAGTGCACGGTGTGCTTTCAGGTTGACTGCATTCACCGCTCGCTATTTCCACAAAGCCAATCGACTCTTTCCCGAGTGGAAGAATTTCGTGCACATCGATCACAAAGTCCTGGAACGGTCGTTGGCGTTCCTCCTGGCCACTCAGGCGAAGTCCGGGGCGTTCCACGACCATGACGGATACTTCACGTACGACCGGAAGATGGCACTGAAGGTGAGCTCCTGGAATTGCTGATGACGAGTCCGATCTCCCGAATGCATGTTCGCTCCGGCTCATCGAGCCCCGTCGGAGAGAGGGAGAAAAATTGAAGCTTCCGAATGCCCCCGAGCAATTCGAGACGGTGACAATTGCTGAAAATAATTCGTAGAGGGCCCCTGCGCGAACGGCCTACCGAGCTGAAGCAATTCGAAAGCGTCTTTCGAGGCGCTTGATTACTACTCATTGGAACGGTACGACCGACCGAACGCTCAGACAGCGATTCGATTGGTCTTTTGCCGAGTATAGATAGAGTTTGGCGGACTTTTGCGAGGAGATAGCCCCGGTCGGAATTGAGAAAGTGTCGCTTGAAACCGATGGCCGCGGTGTTCCGACTGGCGACCCAGTCCGCTCCGAGCCCGGCGACCATTTCGATCAATATCTTTCCAAGTGACCAATCAGAGGCGATTCTACGAGCGAGCTTGTATTGGTCTCAATTACCTCAATCGTAGAAGAGAACTCGGTCCCGTGGCCACAGGCAAGCGTCGATGTGACTAGCTCCGCCTCGCAAAACGTTTAAGCCCTTCTACTCGATCCGATGTCTACTTTACCGAAACGGATTTTGCGACCGATCCTCTTCCGTCGTCCCACCATCGACTCTGCCTCGTCCCCACTCTCGACCATCGGTTAACGCTCGCAACGATGAATCGTACCGTCAGTAACGCGTTTGATGGCTCTTCTGCTGCTGCTGCTGCTCTTGCTGATGAGTCTGTTCCTGTCGCCAATGATGAGCTCGGGCAGGGAAAAAAAGAACGCTAGAGCACCGACGCCGACGTAGATAAGTGAGAAACGTTCCCGAATCGACTAATCTAAACAGCGATTGTTGTCCTCCTGTTGTCGCTTCTATCTTTCCGAGCTATTTGTGACGGCATGTACGTGCTCTGCAAGTAGCGGCTCGAGCTCGTTGCGTTCACGCAATCGTTAGCTTCGCGTTTGCCCGAATCCAGCCGTCGATTTCTCGATTCCGAAATTCCGCTGACGCCGAAAGACGACCCGGGGGCGGATGGTTGCCGCCCGTGAACGCCTCGGGTTGAAAAAAATTCCCGGATTCACTGTTTGATATCCGATGGGCATAATGATGAATTTTAGCCTCAATGAGGGAAAACAATTCTGAAGGAATTTCGTGTTTGCAGGGCGCCGACGACAGTCACAAGGTGGCCAATGTCTCCCTGACAGCGTTCGTGGTCATCACACTCTACGAACTCCGCAATCTCGATGGGGTAAGCTCCACATTCTTTCCCTGCGAGCATCGCAATCACGCTGAGTCTCTCTTGTCATGGAGTTCATTCGTAATGGATTCTCGTTCTCCTACAGCCGTTGACCATCAAAATACCGCCGGCGATCGAATTGGCTCAGAATTATCTCGAGTTGAGTTTGCGATACATCGACAAGGACGATGACCCGTATCAATTGGCAATCACGGCGTATGCCCTCCGCCTCATCGGCAGCTCCGACGCTGAATACGCGTTCACTCTTCTTGATCGCAAATATATCCAAGACGGTAAGCATGATGGGCGAGCTTGGAGCTACCGAGATCCTTATCGATCGTTCGGGCAGTAAATGTTGCGTATTCGCTATCGAGACACGAAACACGAGGCGCATCCCTCTGGAATGCGACGAGAATTGAAAAATTATCTCGATGATGGTCTCGCGTCACAAACTTCGAGGGCCACAGGTGCTTCTCGAATCGCTCGTTACAGCAACCGTTAGTCAAGAATTCCGCGAGGTCATTTTTTGATCGAGGGCGTTCCATCGCAAATCAGAGAGTCACCTAGATCGACGCGGGCAATCAATTCGAAGATTGAGAAAGCAAGATTCCGTCGCTTCTCAGCAAGACATGCATTGGAGCGAGCCCAGAAAGCAGTGAATTGCCGTCTCAATATTACTTTCCCTGCTTTCACGCTTCCCCATGAGACCCACCTGTTTTCTTTCAACATTCCTCCAATAAGACGTGGGCGAATTTACGGAGCACGCCTGTACTCTCGCTCTCGCTCGGAATATAGACTCAATCCGATCCATAGAACTCACGAAGCCGTCGACCGCGTCGACTCCGCAGATCGACCGAGGCATTAGGGTTCACGAGCAAAGGGTTCAAAGAGCAGCGTGATTTTCGGCCAGCTCAATTTCTCGAGGGAATGTACCATGGCGATCCTCCCCCTCCCTTCTAATCAAAAAGGCTCCTGAACTCTCTTGTTCGAGGAATTTAGATGCGACGAGGGCATCGCGTCGCATGTACTTAGGAATGGAGTCCGACCTCACCGGAGTCGATGTGTCGACTTCTACCGTCTGCTCATAAGATTTCAGTCGACAAGCTTTGATAAATGAGAGAAAATCCCCGCAGGCGATTTGAGATTCTGGTCGAAGCGTCGGTACCCGTCAGAGCCTGGAGGCATGCCTCCGTTCTCCCTCCATCCTTCGCAGACGCCCCAGGTAGGACCTCTTGCCCGGAGCGACTTGCATGCCCTCGACGTGGAAACGACGTCATACGCCTTGCTCGCCTACCTCCACGGGAAGGCCATCCTAGTCAAACCAATAGTGGAATGGATCAACCACCAGCGGAACAATGAAGGCGGATGGGCTTCGACACAGGACAGCATTGTGGCCATGGAGGCGCTTCTCGAGTATGAGAAAAGGTTTGTATCGTTCATAGCAATTTTGCTTTTGAATGGTCTCTATTGAAAGACTCGGTTTGAGGACGACTACGTCGAACGTCGAGTCCGACGTAGCCGGAACACAAAACTACCAAAGGTGGACCTGCTCCGAACCGAATGCGAAGCATTCATCGTCCACGGTCCTGCCTGGCGGCTCGCGAGTCGGGGCTACGGCTCCGACTGTGTTTCGACTTTCTCCGCAGCTGTGAGCGAAGCAAATGAACTGAGCGGCGGCTCGTTAGGGTGGTAAACCCTAAGGCAGAGGAACCGATTCTGCCCGGGATATATGTATAGCGAGTATCATCCCAGCATCGAGCCATGAGTGGGAGTCGGTCACATAATCCCGCGACCATAAAATGGAAAGCAGCTCGGGGACCCGGTGCTCCTCTCCACCCACCAGCAACATTTGTAGCGGTCGGCGTCAGTCGCTGGGAGGTTCCTCTCGGATTGAAGAAGAGCGGAAGCCGAAGAAGGGCGTCAACGAGCGAAGAGCTCTAGGCTCTCGATGTGACGCGTGGCATCGTGATGAAGAGCAGACGCTTCATACATGTACTATAGTTATAGTTATGCTTGTTATGAGCACGTCCCGAGTCTAAAGTATTGCTCTGTTTCAGAACTTTCGGGAGCGATGCCGAGGAACGTGAACTTTCAATGACTCTCACGCTGGAGGCTCCCTGCCTGCCGGGAATCTCGAAACAATTTCACGTGTGTGAGTATCTCACACTCTCCTATCAACTTCGCGCCTCGAGAGGGGTTGAATCACTGATGGGTACCGCTGCGTCGATGGGCTCCGCTTGAGTGCTCAATGTACATATTACTTGATTCTTCGTACGTTGCTCCATTCGCGCGTTTGTTTTCAACGCTGGCGAAATTCCCTAGATGTCTGGTCAGCTGGACGTCCATATGGGAAGCATTACGCACATACGTCTGTGTCATACATAGGGGCCAGTGGTATGCGAGAGACATGAAAGATCTAATCACAGAAACTCGTCCTCTCCGCTCCTTAATCACGGAAGCCTGTGATTCATGGGCCAGATCGTTCAACTACCAGACACGGACAAGTGCGCAATGCACCCCGTCACGGGAAGCAGCGAATGGTATGCGCCGGAACTCGCGCAACCGGAAGATGAAATGTTCTTATCGAACATCTCCGGCGGGAGATTTCGGTTGCGAAGACGACGGTGGTCGCGAAGACGGCGATAAGCGATCGAGTTCCCGATCTCGCAGTGGCTCGAAGCGGTTCGCCTGGTTGCTTGGCCCGGTAGCCACAGCTGACTGCCCGTTTCTGCTTCATAGCGCCCCATTAGGTTCAGCTGTGTGGTGACGACGACTACTATGGTTATGATCGCTGAGCTAAACTTGGATGTACCGGGAGAATCTCTGTATTTGCTGGATTATTCTCGTAAGTGATGCTTCTTGAGTCTCCAAGTGGTGCTCCCGCTGGAGCTGCGCTTCACTTCGCGCGCACCAAAAACGAATTTCTCGAGATAGAACCGGCACGGTCAATCCAACAAAGGCGGAAAATGTTCGAGGAAATGGTCCGAACACTCCTCGCTCAGCGATTCCTGGATTGCTTAGTGGGTCGTGCATTCCTCTAATTCCCGTGGGGGACGAAAATTTCACCCGGAGAAACCGCAAGTTTCGAATCTGGAATATTCCAAAGGTAGTTTACCGATGACGGATCGCCCCACGACAGTAGGAGGGGGTCTAGGGTACACATAGGGGTAGTTGTCGTCGGACACATCGTCGAGCTAAGATGTTAATGACGGCAGCGGCGCGCCGTCGCTTCCGCTGTCAGACTCTTTGGAGTGAGCCAGCTTGTAGCTTCTGCTCGGCAAATTGCTCCCTGCCGGCAGAGGGAACACCTCTGAACACATTGTCAGCTCGTTCATATTCAGCCCAGTTTGTATAACGTTTTTCTCTTTACATCTTTCATGGGACTTTTTTCTCCCTTTTCCCTGGTATATCATATTCTCCACTCAGCCGGGAAAGAAGAGAATGGCTGCGGAACGAGTTATTCTTGTTAGATCGGGTCCTTGGGCTTGGCAGGAACGCGGCGTCTGTCGTCGAGGGAATGGGTAGGATTGGCTGCGGCGGGGGCTCTGGTTAGAAAGCGAGAGAGACCTCGCTCAGGGCAAAACTTTCCAACGGCACCACGCAATTGACAAGCAGTCTTCCAGCTTCATGAACGCCCGTCTCTGCTTTTGCTCCATCGAAAGTAATCAATAGCGACGTTGAAGAAGTTTGTCTGCCTCGCTTCCTGACGACTCGAAGCACCTTGCCGCGATGGGATGAATCCTCACATCAATAGGCCCTCAAGTCGTTACGTCAATGAACTTCCGATTGCCGCATTGCAATCTCAGTGGATAGAATCTCGGTAGATTTTCGGCGTTGGCGCAACTCCTGCGAAGGCGCGATGACTCCGAGAGGGTTCGTCTTTCCTAGGGGATTCCGGGCCGAAGTTTCGTGAAACGCTCTCAACGAACAAGACCCCCATGAGGACCCTCCTTGGGATAATATTGAAAGACATCGTGACGGAAAGATTCCCCTCTGCCTGAAGTCCAGCACGGGCCCCACCCCTCCTCGCGATCCCCCTGCATGACGAAGCACAATGATGCACAAGTTCGCCGTTCGGCTAAGGAGCAACGCGGGGCTCAATTACTCTCCAGTCGTTTCTCCCGGGCCGAGCTTTGGATTCACTGACTAAGGTGTCGGAGATCGATAGCGAGCGTCTCATCTAACCGGAAGCTCTCCATCCGTTTCAGCTTTCGCCAATCGATTCCAAGTTCAACGATTCCGTATCCCTAACGCATGGGGTTCAATAATGGTGCGAGCTCGAGGAGTCGGCGTGTCTCTTCTCCAGATGCATCTGAAGTCGCAACTTCGATCGCCAGCTCCGCCCGTGAGCTCTTCTCTGTCGTTGAACGTCAAGGTTTTCTCGTCGGGACGGAATCATTCTCGGCTGCATTTTCGTTCGTGCCAAAGTTGGATCGCTGAACGAGAGAGTCTCATTAGCGGACTCGTAGTACTCGAAGCTCAGCTGCCCACCGGCTACCAAGTCGATCGAGATACATTGTTACATTATATTCACACTGCCACATCTAGGAATCTACGGCATGCACACGCCGACCAGAGCAAGGCCACTTTCTACTTCGACTATGTGAGTTATTCGACGGGAAATCGCGCCTCTCCGAGCTTGTTGCTCGTTAAAAGAGGAAAATGAGCCACGACGACGAATAATTGGGCTCGCTGTGTGAACACACTTCGCGATCAGTGTTTAATGAGCACTGGAACTTTTTTCCATAGCTGGACTCATCGCCCATCTGCATCAATTTCACTGCGCTGAGACTGTTACCGACCGCCGCAGCCCACCGGGAGTCGCTGGTGAAAGTCTACGAATACCATGAACCAGGTGCGTACCATCTTCTCGAGCGCTGTTTCCGAGGCAACCAATTTCCGTTCAATTATCTACGGTCTTTGGCAAGGCGGCGCTTATTTCGTTTGTTTTGTTTTCGTTATTTCGGCGTTTTCTCTCGATTGTTCCGCTCTGCGTGAGCGCTCCGCGCGATGATCGGTAAAAGACGCGAGAGGATCCCTCGGAGGAGATCGCTAAGTTTTCTCCTCTCATCTTCAGAGCGTTACAACCAGACCTTGGTGGACCTCTCCTTCCTTCACGATCTACAAGTGTGTGATGTATGTGGATCGTATCAATGCCTGGAATGTCCTTCATACAATGCGGCATCAAGTTCTCTCACGGAGTCGGTCGCCATCCTTGTGTTCCTGGGCAGCGTGATGGTCTATTTGTGTAGAGCGAAGTGTACATAAGGCGAACGCAGTATTGGCTGAGGATATCTGCGAAACGAGCTGTGTATTTATAACATGGAATCGAAGGGTTTCCGAACGAGTGATTCATCCGAAACCCCAGCGGAGAGGACGGCACACCAATCGAAGCGCGGAGCTGAACTTGTAAATAGGAGTTTTGAGAGACTCTCAAGCAATAAGGTGTTCTTCAATTTTAGACTCGAAACTCCGTTCCTAGATAAAGTTGACACCGGAATAAAGATGCTTTATTTACTTTTACCCGAATCGTCCTCAATACGGGCTCCGGAAGCTCGAAGAAAGACAAGGATATTCTAGGATGTACGAATATCGGAAGCGCCCGCTTTCTTGCACTAGAGTCCCATAGTGTTACGGAGCTGGCTGAGCGAGGATGGAGGTGAACTGATGTTCGAGGTACGTACGACAGGGGAGCCGTACTCCGGGTCGCAGGCGCGACCACGCTAGCTCGACTTATTCCAATCAAGCTAATGCTGTTTCAACTCTTTGTCATCTCTATCTTTTCTGCCATCCTCTCCCCTTTCCCTTTTCTTGCTTCCCTCTCTAGAGGTTGATATTAGGGTCCCTGGAGACGCGTCGGTTAGGTGCGACCACGCGAAGGACATCTTGGTCATCGGCGACTAGCTTTCGCAAGCTGTGAGGTCACCGTTTTTTTCTTTTCCGCGATATCCCACAACCATCATCGGTCCTGGCAGGCAGGAAGAGGAGGACAGGCATAGAGCCTGGAGGTCGTCAAGGACCTCGTGTCTTGGAATGATTGTGTCATGAATATGAACTTCTCCCGGGACTTGTTGAAAGATCGTGTCCTGCGTCAAAGCAGAAGGAAACTGCTGGATGCAGAGCCCCGGGGAATACGGAATTCGCTCGGGATGAATCACGAGTTCAATAGATGCCGGCAAAATGCGATCTGACCATCAATGGAGCGATACTTTCCGAAACGAATCGATTTCTCAGAAATCCATGCATGAGAGCGAAGAGATAAATATTGCTGTACCCTCCGCCTGCTCAACACAGTTGTGCGTGAGCTCAACGCGTCGGCAAGAGAAGCAAGCGTTCGCTCCATTCCGAAACGAGGGAAAAACCGAGCCGAGGAGGAGATTGAAATTTCTTTGATGTTCTTTAGACCAGCAGATAGCCGACTCGATCCTCGCGATGTGCGTGAGGAAAGCATAAGCACGTTTCTCACTCGGAGCCAATTTCGCAATATCCGGGAGAGGGGGAGGGGAATCACTGAAAACCCCTCGGCTTGTGCATTCAGATCCCCGTTCGGATTCCGTCTCGCCGGAAATATATTTCCATTCGAACTTATCCACCGAAAAGTCTGGTCGTTGCAGAGCTATGGTTTTGCATTTAGAGTTTCACTTCCGGAAGAATTGAGTTAGTTCTCGGGGCGTCTTCGAAATCAGACTCCTCCAGCACGGTTTTCAGCCATCTGGACGATTCTCTACGTCGATGCTGTTATCAGAGCAGCGTCCCTTCAACCCAAGGTCAACTCTGCCATTCCATCTGTTCGTTATCGATATATGGCAAAGTTCGTCGGGGACGAGTGGAAGACGAATCGCCCTGCGCTACAATAGGGAGACTCACAAGACGGATGCAAGTCCGGAAAATTGGCGGAGGTTTTGATGAAACGTCTGCTTCCCCGAAGGGAAGAGCCTCGGGCCATAAGACTTGACTGGACCATCTGACTGAACCTGAATTCGCTCCGGTTACTGTTGCTGGAGGAGGAATAGCGAACACGTCCCGGCGATAGGATGTCAACGCTCCCGGAACTTGGTCAAACTCGAAGTCTCCGCGTGCCTTGCGAATTCCCTTCTTTCTCTTTTCGCCAGGGTCTTTCTCCCATTTCGCTCCCTTCCCTGTGCTATTCAGGGCAGGGAAATAACAATACGACCGAGTTCCCTTCTTTGTGAGTCTGGGAGACTCAGACGGGACTTATGATTCTTCCCTCTTGGAGTAATATTTCCAAATTGGCGGCTGGTTTCACTCAACAGAACTAGGTCGTTGCGTCGAGCAGCAGCGGAGAAACGTTCGAGACAGAATGGCACGGACTGGGTTTTGTGACGCATTCGTGCGGGCGTTGGTGTCCGATCATTTTATTCACCGCACGTAGTTCAAATGGCATGACATGCAGCCTCTCTGATCAAGGCCGTTTGAGCCAATGAACGTATGTATGTTGCGGGGACCCGCTTGACTCGAGGGCGGACAAACTGGCCTGCTTGCAAGCCGGCCGCTCGGTTAGGAGACCCATGGAGGGAAAGCAATGAATATCCAAACTGAGGCCATTAAGTGGCCCGCCTTCCCGTCCGCTTCTTCGCCCGCACGCTCGCCCGACCGTCGGTCCGGAAGGCAGCGGCCGATCCCATCAAGACGAGGACGACACGAGAGAGCTGGCGAGCCTGATTTGGTTTTGCATCGGGCCCAATTGAAAAGTGGTCAGCCATCACAGGCAAGCCAGCATCCTGATTGGGGCCGAGGGTGATCATCAATTACAAATTGTCCCCCTATGGATGAGCATCTGCGAGGGGTCACGCGTTCTGTTTGGAGGTCCTGAAGTATCGCTAATCATTCACATCCCATTCATCATCTGGGGATCCTTCGGAATTCGAGGCCGTACCAGCGATATTTAAAGTTTCTCCATCGAGGAAAATACGCTCCTGCTTTCCCTCCGGGTCCAGTTCGACTCGTAAAGACATTCTCGCGCTCAGCGCTCGAGCATGGCGGGCGAGCCACGACAGAATTCCTCTCGAATCTCCTCGGAGTGAATGTAGTATCAACAATGGCGAGCTCCGACTCGAGTTTGTTTGTGAGAAGCGAGAGTCGAGAGCAGCCGAGAAAAACTTATTGAGAGAGTGTACTCGAACTTTGTCAGTTGCCGGCGCTGCAGGTGTCGGGGACAGTTTAAGGCAAGACGCAAAAAGCGCAAACATTTTAAACCTGGTCCGCGTGTTTTGCAGTGTTCTGTGATCGAGCTGCAGATGTCGCGCTGGGCCAAAAAGAGTTCCCCCTTGAAGTCGGTCTCGGACGTCCTGATAACGTTTTTTGTGAGAAAAGTTCCGATTCCGGGTCGACTTCTCTCGCACTTCTGTTCGGCGTCACCTGCGAACTGCCGCAACGTCGCGCGAGACCCGCTATTTGCTTTCTTCCGATGTCCCCGCTTGCTTGTCTGCGTGCGCCGCGGATCTCCCGACTGTGCTTTTTCCGTGCAGTCATGTGCAAAATGTGCACGAGCGCAAGTCGTCCCAGGCTCCCGGAAGTCTCTTCGAGAGGCGTTCACGATACAACCGAAATGCCAACTTCACACGCGCCCTCCGAGATCCCTGCGACGACGCGTCGCTTGCTCCCGTCCCGGAGGATTCCTCGTTGCGATCCTTCTATTTTCGATCGCTCCCGCAATATTCGCTTCCTCGAAATTAATGGTTTCTCGATGAAGCTTTGACGTGTATTCTCTGCAAAGAAACGGCTGGCGGCGACGGATCCAATGGATTCCGATCCGAAGCTCTAACGAGAGTCTCACTCCAGAAGGATTGCCGGCGAAGCTCCCTCAGGTTCCTGGACCTTGCGGGAACGAGCCCGACCTCGATTATTATCGATGTGTTTGTAATACTATCCTTGCATCTGAGCTCGGATAACCGCGCACAAAGAGCTCGAAGGTCGATAACCGAGGTAGATACGGAAACGGCCCGGAGCAAGGATGTCGCAACATTCCGAGGCCTCGGCCCACCAAATACCGGTGGATGTAGCGCCTCTCGTCACCTGCACGAAGATTATCTGCCAGCAACTTCTGAACTTCCAATATCGACTCCGCTGCGAGCGGGTCGCGACGCTTGAGGGAACCCAGTCAGTGTTCATGATAGGCAAAAACTTCGCTTCTCCTCGGAGCCGGGGCCCTCGCGCTTAGGATGTGATCCTAAACGAGTCAAAACAAACGAGTACATAAATTAAAATCAGGAATTATCCCCCGCAGGATTGGTGGAAGGGTATACTCCGCGAGACGTCGAGTTACGGCCTCGTCCGACCTCTTCTTCCCAACAAGCCGATGTGCGGGTGTAACTCCCTCCGAGACTCAGCCGCGACTTGCCCCTAACGCGGAATCTTTCGAAAGGCCCACACGCTGCGGGGAGAGGATGTTTCAAAGTGATGATTATTGGAAACAACATCGGAAATGATCCTGCAGGCTAAGCAAAGATGGTGGAAGAGTGCAAGCGAATTGGGGAGGCGCGGGCGGGTCGAGCAGGTACTCGATAAACGGTGATATATGTATTGAGTCGAGCCTTCCGTTCCCCCTGTCTCTCTCGCTCGGAGGCGGTAGCAGTGGATAACCTATGGTTGCTCCCACTTCCTGAACGCTTCGCTCCCACGGATCGATAGCCGAGTGAGGAAGCAGCTCGCATATGACGTGGGAATTTCTATTGCCCGGTAGGCTGACATATCAGTCTGACATATTAGTTTTGAACGCATTTCGGACAAGATTTCCGGGGAAATACATAGACTTGCTGCGCCCGACAATGCCCGAAACAATTGCCCAAACGGGCCTCGGCCGAGAAATGTTCCGTATTCCAGACGTGACACCGCATTTGTGTGATCCGCTTTCACGAGAAGAGCCTAAGAAGGAATACGTATGATATGACTAGGACGTCTTGAAGGAGGGATAGTTATCGGATCTATCGCCTTCAATGCTCGACGGAGAAATTTATTTTTCCATGGGAGAAAAGACCCACATCGGATGACGGGTACTCGATGAGATTTAGTCTGATCAAGGCATTGCGTTCGATTCTCCTTTCTCCCCCCCCCTGTTCGATCCCGGGGGCGCTCGTGGTCGCCTCCGAACCTCGCTTTGTCTTGGAAGATGAGCGCCTTTCCCCCGTTATAACTCAAAGCGCGATGAGGTGAGTAACAACTTCTTTATTGCATTTCTGGACTCAACGTATACAAAGGCAGAAATCTCAAAGTCGGGGTCCCGACAACGACCCCCGAATCCTTCCGACTACCAGCGCAGCCCAAGTCTCTCTGCCGCGCAATCAAATCGGATGCTCTCCGAACAAAAGCAGACCCTCCATTTGAAGAATCGATCTCCCGTCAATTAAAGGCCTTCTCCGTGGCCTATTGGAATATTGTGCACTCATGGGCCGATTGCAGTATCTCTATTGCACATCGTGTTGGAATAGCTCCGAATCGAACCGAATAAATACTCTCGAAGAGAAAAACAATTATTTTCCCTTTCGGCGTTGCTTGCACCTATTCTTGAGCTCCTGCTCCATCGGTTGACTTTGAATGTGATCTCCTCTGCGTGCCTGGCTTCAGCTTTTCGTAGCGTGGATACACTTTTTACAATTTTGATGTCGATCGGAACGTTTCGTCAGAGTCGAACCGTTGACGTCGGTCGGCTTTTGGACGCTTGTGGTGATTTTCCCCGTACGCACATTATATACATTGTAGCATTCGATTTCCTCCGAGAGTTTGCGGGTTCTGCCGGCCGACTGACTCCGTGTCTTCGGCGGTGTCGATACGACGATGCCTGAAAAGAAGGAGTTTGCTGAGTTCCGAGGCCAACAATCCCTCCTGATTCTGATCGTAACTGGAGTGAGTTCAGAATCTATCAAATAATTATTCAAACGGTTTAATCAGCTCATTCCGAGCAAAATATCGAATACTAACCCTCGTCAACCGAATCGGAAGAATCGCTTTTCTTCGTTTGGTTTCGCCGGCGGATGATGTTATCTGAACTCTTCGTCCGAATGTTCTTTTTGACCGGCGAAGGTCTCCGGTCACTGCTTCCGCAGAGGACCTCGGAACGGCTGCGCGAGTGAGCGGTTTCGGTTGATATCACAGTGGGTTTAACAGGTTCGCCAGTGACTTCGATCCGGGTGACCAGAGGGCTCTTCGGGGGCACCATGGGTGGCACAACATCTCCGGAAACTCGTAGTTTGTGCAGATCGGTGGCTAGACACGGAATCGACGGGAACGACTCTTCACTCGAAATCGAATTCGTATCCGTGTGTTTCTGACCACTCCGGTAAGACATAGCGGTCCCGGGTCTCGAACGATGACGGCGTGGGGGCAGCGGAGGGGGAGACTCCGATTGATCTGAATTCCCCTTGCCTGGAATTGACAGTGCGAAACTCGATTGAAGAAGGATTCTGGGATTCGAAAGTCGAAGTGGAGACTATGGACACGCTGTCGGATGTACGGCATTTCCCACCAGAGGGAGAAATCTCGATTATCGTGATCGAGACAGGCAGGAGAATCAATTGAATGGAAAGCCAAGCCGATCGCTGCGCTCCTTTGCATTGGCGCAATGGATGAGAACATATGACGATTTTACTACTTATCATCAATCATTGATAAATAAGCCAATTCAGTTTTTCCGCGGATAACCGGGAAATTTCTCACTTCGAAGCAGCGTCTTGCCGTCGTTCTTCCCACTGTAGGTTTCTTACCTTCGTCCTCGGAAGAGAACGTTAGGGCCGCGGTGCTATCACCGATGTTCTGTTCTTTGCCTTGCTGGAACAGCTTCGAGATCCGCAGACCCTTTGGGCCTCGCATACTCCTTGTTCGCGAGAACTTGAAGTTATCCGCGGGGGTCTCGTCATCGCCAACCTCCGTGCTCCGAATCGATGGGAGTGTCGTGGTGCTCGTGACGTTCGACCTGGCAAGCAGAAAGTTTGATCAATGACATCCGGAACGAGCTGCGGATTAGGTTCCGATGGGAAGGAAATCGGTCCTTACTGAAACCGATTCGAAGTCCGAAATCTTCCCGAAAAAAATCTGCGATTTCCCGCTAGCGTTGGCGACATTCTGCTGGAACTCACCCCAAGGTTTGGTGAGGGTTGATTCCATCGTTTATGATGCTCACGTCGATATGGACACTTTCTCGACTGTCTGACTTCTGCAGGATGAAAACGGCCTTCGCCGGCGTGGGTGTACTGGCAACCGAAGACGGCGTAGACTGTCCGGCTTTTTGGCGTCTCTCCGGAGAGATGTACCGATGTCTTGGCGGAGGTGTCACGGGTGAAAGCTTGTTCCCTCCCTGGAAAACGATGTCTCAAATGAAGCGGCCGCTCATTGTTGCGAAACCTTCAAAATTTCGATACCAAGTTGGCGGATATTATTATATCATGTAGGTGTCGCGTCGCCCGCATGGGTTCGGCTGCCGCGGTCTGTCTTGACCTGCTGCGACTTCGCGCGTGTTGGCCCGTCCCAAGCAGAGGCAGGGCTCGATGAGAATTCGGCGCCGATGGACCGATGACTGCGATTGCACGTGGGTAGCCTAAGTGGGCAGTAATTGAGCGTGGATGTTTACATGTCGTTGTCCGTCGGGCGAGGAACGAAGATCTGCTCCACGTTCGATCGAATTTCCGAACTCAATGTTCTCGATACAGGAGCTGAAATTCGTCGGCCAAGTCGGCCCCCGCCCAACGTCATAGACAGATCTGTTGCCCGGTGGACGTGCGAAATCGGCTACGATTCTGAGTTGTCGGATTTATCCTATCGAAGGAGTTTCATTCCTCCGTTGGAAGACCTTAAAACCTTGGGGACGTTTGTCTAGAAGCGGGATTCCTTCCCTGACCGTAATTAATCAAATCAAGATCAAACATGAGAGAACTTCGGTCAGGATGGGCTCAGGCTCGCATTGATTCGCATCTCGGGGATTTGAGAAGAAGCTCCGCAATGACGAAAACTGTCTTAGAAGGGAAAGGCAAGACATCGTTTTCTGTTCGCTCGCACTGAAGTCGCTGAAGCCGTCACCTCACGGTTTCTGTTTTTCCTCTCTATAATTTCTCGTTGACACGTACGGTCGCGGTACCATCAAACTGTATAGACGCCTTTTCTCAGGTTCAGACGAGCTTCGGCAAAAACTTGATGCCACTAGGGAACAGAAAAAAAGGCGTGTGAATCGAAAAAAAGGAAGAGGAGCTACTCCGACGCGCAATCTTGATCGCTTGAGACTGCCTCCTCGAGACGACCGGCGTCGCAGAGAATTATTCACAAAGCGTCTCAATGTTTCACTCGGGACCCTACACCGCATGGTTTCTAAGAAATCGATAATGTAATATCTATCTATGAGGAATCACGTGGATCGACGTCGTACGTATTGTCAACCCTCACTTCGAGCGGAGACCGGGGAGAGAGATGCACTCCGAACGTCGGATCAAAAATTAAGGTATGACTCGTGCGGCAGTGAATAAACGAATCGCAAGCAACGTGCACTCATCTACGAACCGGATACTTGCTGCGTACATATCTGGGCACAAATGAGAGTGCGCGAATCGGTAAGATCAGTCAATCTCACGAGGAAAGCTACACCGTCTAGTATCTCTTACCTGGTCAAAGACTCCGCCCGGATTGAAGCTGACGCTGCTGCTGAGTGTGTCACTGTTCTGTCCTCGGATTTCATTCAAGAAATCCAGGGAACAGCTGGTCCGTATTTGGTTATTCCTGTGAATTGAGAATGGTATATTCAATACCGTGCGGAATGCTTGCTCCCGGGACGAAAACTCAGGAGAAGAACTCGGGAAGAGCGGAGCAGTACGTCTGAGTAAGATCACTAATGAGGAATCATTCTCATTCTCCGCATCGGAAAACTCGATGCCGAGCTAATGCATACTTGATGAAACGGCCTTGCATCGTCCTGCGCTTGGAGGACAAGAGATGCCGGATTTTCTCGAACAACTTCATGATGGATCTTCACGGGAAGACTCCACTGAGACTCCAGAGCACCTCGCCTTTCAGCTCACTGCGATTCACGTAAATAACGACACTCGGACTCGGTCCGTGACAGTCAGACGACTCCCCGACGAGAGCCCTAGGGACACTGAACCGTTCGTGAATGTCTAGAGCGAGCTGAACTCCCACCACGTGCAAGGGCAAATCGAAGAAAGAAGCCCCAGTCTACATGGGTCAATGCTAAGCAATGAGTTGCGGTGGGAGTCGGACGTAGCGCTGGCGGGGGATGACTCTGTTAGTCGACGAAAACACTCAATAGCGTAATCATGGATTTCTCCGCGGGGCGTTTCTGCACACAAACCAGGAGTGTATCTCTCGCCGAGTATGAGCTATTCAGCGCTTGGTTTTCTGCCTGCCAATCCGACTGGTCGTCTGAGTCACTGGTTGCTTGCTTGCTTGAATGCGAATTCGACAAGCTAGCCAGAGGAGCTAAACGAACGGAGACGGCCTTACGCCACTTGATAGTGGGGGCGTTCGTAGCTTCGTTTCGGCGCTGACTACGGTGTCGCTGTTCAGTTCCCACAAGACTCTCGATGATAACTCCCTCTTCCCGCCTTGACCGAATCCCGGCATCGAGAAAGCTCCGAATGAAGAATACCTTTGATTCGATACGGCAAAAATGACCAGAGCCTTGACGGCTCGAGAATATTTTTCTAATGGCACGGCCTCGGCTCTCCTCTGGCGCTCCGTGCATGTCGTCTGCTCTTTTCCTTATCCAGATGTGATCATCCAATCGGATCTTGTGATGACCGGACAGCGAAGCTAAGCTAGGTTCGGAACATCATTCATTACATCTCGGTGATGTTGTCAAAGGCTGAACAAGGAAAAGCTTGGCTTGGCTCAGGGCATCTCGGGCTGCTCCGCAATCGTACCGAAGACCGAACAGGTGTCTTCGATTCGACGGGAGAAAAATTAAAATTGCCAGTGGAATGGTCGTTTTTACCTAAATGGAACTCCAGCTGAAGACTGCGCCCGACCGTTGTGTTCTTGCCAGAGGCTTGTATAAATCCAATCACGTTGTCACTGTTGATTTCGCAAAGCGTCGCTCGATGAATGGACGGATGAGCAGACATGGCCGCCGTGGCGATCATGGAAGTGACGGACTACACGGAAAATATTCCGTATGAAGCGTTTCCGCGGCTTTGTCCCGGCGTTAAATTATTCTTTCTCATCGATATCGCGTTCCCTAGTGATGGATTCGCATTTTTTTCCGAGGGAAACTGTTGTACGGATTCATTGAGGCTCGACCCCTGGGGTCAAAAATGAGCGCGCGAGCTTCATCGACTCGATATCCAGAGAAAAAGAAAGACATGCGAATAAGGTCGGAACACGAGACCGTCACCGTAGCTCCGAACAGACGAGGACTAGGCAGGGCACAACAATCGGCACGCATAGGGAACTCATTTCAATACATGGCTTTCTCTGATTGAACGCTCCCGCTCAAGGAAACACCGCGCACTATCTCGTAACGAGAAGAAGTCACCTTGCGGCGACTCAGCCCTATTAATTTTTCTTCCGGATCCAGAAAATGCACAAACAGCGCGCATCGATCCAGAGATGAGTGAGAAGAACTATCCGATTCCAAAATCTAGGGGATTCGCCCAAAGGAATATCCTTTACCTTCTGGCGGGGGCGCGCGAGATATCACATACGCGGTAGCGATCAATCACGGGAAGAATGTTCACTATTCGACCGTAAATCGCAAGTCGAGTCCTCTGCTGGTCCGTGTAAACTTTGAGAGGCTCAAGTTTCTCTACATCCGGGATGGAAGGCATCGATGTTACCTAGGCTGTGGTCCTTCGAGCAAGGAAGGCAACCTCTGCCAGATTCCACATTGAGTCACACCAAATCGCTTGTAGGTACTTCTTTCGCGCGGAAACGCAGCGAGTTTGATGAATCATTATTATCAGTCATCGACTCCGAGAGGAAGCGCTAATGACCCCGAACGAAATCCGATGAGCTCACAATCTCAGAGCACTCGGCCAAGAAGCCAACGGCAACGGAAAAATCCAATTGCAATGATTTTCACCCCTTCGGTCCCCGTCGAATACCTACGACAGGAGGAAGTTCTATATCTATCGTTCTTGAGGGAAATATAATATTGTGCCCGATGTCACTCGGACAGTTGCCTTTCTGTAAAAGCAGGAACTTAGGAGACGTCGGCGCTCATGATCTAATCCATTCGCTGTCGAACGGATGCGATCAAAGAGGACCCCCGCCTCCCCTGCAACCTCCCCAGCTGTAGCAACATTTAATCCAGTTTCCGTCCAAATGACAAGCATCGCGGAAACCAGCCATGCGCCGAACAAAGCAAGTCTTTGAGTGCTTGAGCGCCGCAGTGGGAGCTCTCGAAAACGCAATACGAGATCTACGGCGGATCAGAATTCGAGATAACAACAAGGCGAAAGAAGCGCCGAGCTCGGAAGCGACAATCATTCGGCAACGCCCCGACATTTGGCCCCATTGAAGCTGAGCGGATCGTCCGTATACCTACTTCCAGATTCATCCAAGACGCGCGAGTAGATCATAGTCACAGCTTCGAATACGTGGAAGTCAGAGGTCAAACTCGCTCAGAATGCCGACAGCCTTCCCTCGTTGATTCTTCTGCTTGTTGATCGAAAAGGAAGCGAACGCCAACTGAAGTGTGCTGTTTGCTTATCGCACAACCGAGAAGCGCGAATCGAGCAGCTCCATGAGAAGAAGCATCACAAAGAGGCAGTCGAGGAGGAGTCAGACTGGTGACTCTCCCGGCGAGTCACGGCAAAAATACCTTGTTCGCAACCATACCTGTAATTAATGATGCACAGAGATATATTCCGGACAGAGAATCAGGATATCGAGAGCGGTCGCGGGTGGAGAAACGCTATAGATATTTATCTCTTTTCCCACCATCACGAAGTCAATGATCGCAATATTCCTCCGCGGGGAGATCCACAGGATTCGAGACTTCTTTCGTATTAATTCTTCATGAATAGGCAGTTTGAAAGAATTGTGACGGGCCGAAAATGATTCGTTAGACCCCGAGATCCCGATCGACCAAGATAGTGTCAGAGTAAAATCCTGCCATCTCCGAACCTGCTGTGGCCTCCGTATTCCGAATCCCGCGGAGGCGCAAGGATGTGCGCACCTCTGTTCCTCCGCGGCTCCTTGATGAAGAGGAAATATTATGCGAATTAAGTCTCTCACACGTTCGTCGACTCGGGAGGGAGCGGACCGACAGTAGCAACAGCCGAAGGAAGAAAAATCGCGAGCGAACGGCAGTTTTTGTATTTCATTACACACGGCGAGCATCTGAGCCCACGGGAATACAGCGCGTGGGCATCACATCGTTCTCACCGGGCGGGAAATCACAATTTGGAACGGAGACAGTATTATGTATTTCGAACTGTTTATTGTCTTTCCCGCCGTCAAAACACGGCTCCGGAGGAGCGCCGGCGGAAACTGAACTTAGCTCGAATGAAGCTGAATTTTCTCACAGACGGGACTCATTTTGTGGCAACGATAACATCGGAGCGATGACAGCGGTGGCGGCGACAGTCGAAGCCTAAAATTTCTTTCCGAAGTAATTTTGTCCAATTTCGAAGATAAGCAACGGATGTCATCATCCCGATGAATCCCATCGCTTGCTCCGACGCCCGGATTCAGGGGGAAGGAATTCCGGGGATCGTCGATCTTCCTCGGCGCAACAGTGAGCGTCGAAAATCACGAATATTCCCCCTATCGGCTGAGTTCTCGACTCTGCCCGCGTTTCCTCCAGTGTGTTCCGCCTCAGAAGTTACCTATCTGCGTCCTGATGGCAACTCTAATGATGTCAATCGATTTCGACGGCACTGATTCATCGCACTGCAACCAAGCAAGTCCCAGCAGAGGAGGAAAAAGTTGCTTTGCCCCGACTTCAGCGCTAAAAGCCGCATATAATTTATAACGAAGTGACAAGCGGACTGAAAAGCTCCGACTGAAAAAAGATGAAGCGGCGCACGAGTGAAACGGAGGGAACACAACTTCGAAAGTCATCTTATCGTCTCCAGCTGTTCACGGTAGAGTCAAACATGTCCCCCGCTGACCCGGGCTCTTCCGACTTGCCTCGTTCTTACAATAATTAGGTGGTCGAATTCGAGCAATAATTCCTGGTTAGACGCAGATCCATGGTCTCCCTGACGAAAATAGAATATGTATCGGATGATTCAACCATGACTCTCGGAGTGCGAAAACAATGCTATGATAATAATCGGCGTCAAGAATTCAAATGCATATGCCGGGGATACTCCGGGGATTTCAGTCTCTTTCCCCTGTCGGTGTCACACGCAATCTTCTTTATGTTTCGAGTAACTCTCCCGTCGGCGGCCGCTGAGATGGCGCATAATGTCGTCCTTCGATATTAAGCGGCGAGTGAGCCACTAATCTGGTTCGAGGGATTACGGTCCCTCGACGCGTTCTGATTCGCAAGGTCCGTGACGGAGACAAAGCCAAGTACAATTGGACTGTTTGTTTAATCTCTCGCTCCGTCAAACCGTTTCTCATTCTCCTCGTCTGTCCTGGTTGCTTATGCCCAACGACAGCGCGTATCGTCGTGGTATTCTGAAAAGGAAGGCGTCACGTCTTCGTTCGGCCGATTCGCGCCTATAGCAATTACGGTGGCGCCGTAAGACGCCGCCGCTCCCTCGAATTTCTGCCGCCGCGGAAGACGCTGCGGACGTTGAATACAGCAACTA